CAAGGCAGTGCGGTATGGTCCGCAGTAAGAAAGGCCGGAATTGCGCGGGTAGGGTCGTTCTTTTGCGTTGCTGCTTTCACGTCGCGACGGCAGCGGGCGAACTCCATCACTCGCATCCCCGTGGTGTCCGGGGCCAGGGCGCTGGGCTCGTCCATCGCCTTGATGATGAGTTGCCCCATCGTGTCGTTTGGGCTGGGTGCCCCGTCGGCTGCCAACTGAAGGCCGAAGTACCGGAAGTGCTTCACCTCAAGGTTGCCCGGGAGCACCGGCGGCGTCCTCGCGGCGCAGTACCGCAAGAACTGCTGCCAGACCCGTTCCCGCTTTTCCAGCGTGGCGGCGGAGTTAACTGTCGCATCCAGGCCCGCATCGATCAGCTTTTGGCACTCCTCAGTGCCCGGCGTCGCAGCCGCAGTTCCCGCTACGGCCTGCGTGGCGAAGGGGTTGGCGTCCGGCCGGGTGGCAACCGCTGCGAACGCAGAGTGCGGCCGCATCTACGGCGATCCTGCTTTGTTCTGTGTAATTGTAAAGAAAGAGGGGCCAACGACTTACAACAGACGGAAGAGTCAACGCACAAGCAAAGATTTCAAGCTGCCAAGATTCGAATAGGCTTCTACAAAGATGCAGAAAAATGGCATTGCTCTCCTGGGCGAGCCTTCTTGTTTACACTAAATCCCCCTTCAGAAAAGTACCAGAAAAATGCAGCGTTGCACGCTGTTTAGAGAAGAACATCTACGCAGTTTGTGCCTATGTTCTTCTTGCTTTTTCGTTGAAGCTGCGGAGAGGTTATCGAAAATTCGAGCATACCATGCTGCCTGGAGAGGAACTCGGGCAGTTTTTCCCTTAGATCGTGCTACCTGAGAATTGTCATTGTCAAAGGAAGACGGCCCGTCTCGTCGTGTCTAGAGACCAACTGCACTACTGAAACTGCCAAACACCATAATACTCCGTAACTAACACGGCGCGTCCGTTTACCCTACTGATCTTGCAGTAGCAGGGTAGTTCAAGGCGCGTGCGAGTTGCGCCATATCTCCAGGTGTGCCCCGTTAGTGGTTGTATTGCGGCCCGCCCCACAGAGGTGGGAAGCGTGGTGGCACTCGCTACAGAGGTAGTCGAGGTGGCGACCCGTCCCACAGAGGTGAGGCGGTATCGTCATGCCTAGAGCTAGTCACATTGACTAGTTCCCCCGCTGCGAAAGCACGACCTCTTTCCACGTTTTCTTCTCGATTTTCGCCTTCAGCCAGTGGTGGCGCTCGCACTTTCCGCTACGGTTGCATTTGTGGTTGGACCACGCTCGGCAGAAAGAGTCCGGCGAGCCGCACTCCGCCTTCTCGCTCTCCGCCACGCAGGAGGGTTCGATCGTGCCACCTCCACGCACGAACCAATACACCCCATCGATGCAACAGCAGTCCACGACCTTGTCCCAGGAGCGGCGGTACACCGGGTCGCCCCGGTCCTTGCGGATCTTGTCCGCGACGTCCCGCTTGCGCATCGGGGCACCGGCCCCCGAGTCCGGACCATTGCCGACCCGGTTGATAGCAGTCCTGTGGTCGGTGGGATGCTTGTCCACGATGCGGACCCACATTTCGTCCTTCTTGAGATCATCCGCCGGCGGCTTCGTACGCTGCGTTGCCCCATTGCCACGCCGGGTCGTGCGCTCCCGCTTCATCGCCTTCTTTCGGTCCGCCGCGCTGGGCTTGCCACCCCGTGGCTTTCTGCCACTGGTCTTCCCCTGCTCGTCCCCCGACTCCACAGTATCATCGTCCGAGCTGCTGGGGCCATCGTCCTTGTCCTGGTTGGCGATAGTGCCAAATCTCGCTTTGCGGGCTGGCACCAGGGCGGTGATCTGGGTCCAGGCGTGCTTGACGATGAACATGGCGCTGCGGATGGGCGCGGCCAGGGTCGGAACGCCCAGCGGTGCGCACATGCGGATGATTTCCTCCTGTTGCTGGGTGAGGAAGATAACAACGGGCAGAGCATGCCAAAGGGCGTCCGTTTTGCTCATGGCATTGATCTGCACCTTGAAGTTGGTCAGGGCATCCGTAACCGCCGTGGCTTCCAACCCGTCGTGGACCGCAATGAATTGCTTCATGACGGTGTAGGCGTCCTCCACCTGCTTCCAGCGGTTCTGAGTGTAGACCGACTTGACCAACCGGGCGTCCTCGATCTTCAGCTGCGGGCTGCGGTTGACCAGCTGAAGCAATTCATGCGCCGGCGCGAAGTCGCAACCCGCCAGGAAGTCCTTATCCAGCTTGGTATTGCCCCGCGTGTTGCGCAGGGCCGCGACATCCGCCAGGACGTCTCCCACCGTTTTGACGTCCATGGCGTTCAGGCTGCCAACGCCTTGCCACTTCTCGATCGCGGACTGTGTGGCGTCCAGCGCGGCGCCGTTCGCGGTCCGCTTCAACCGAGAGCCCGCCAGCACGTTCTCCCCGTATACCCCGTTGAGGACGGCGAGGAGGATGGCCAGCTTGTACTTGGCGACGAAGTGCGGGCGGCTCTCCTCCGCCAACTTGTGCGCGAATGTTCCCGCTTCAAGCTGCACGTAGTCCGCTACCAGCAAGACATTATGGTGGTCCACTTGGCAGTGCTGCATGCGGTTGAAGTCGCAGCACAGTCCGACCGCAAGCTCGTAGTTCCTCTGCGCCGTCTGGGGGTCCGGGTTGAGCTTCCAATGAATCTGGTTCACTGGGTCCGTGAGCTTGACCACCCCCATCGTGCGGGTGTGCACCTCGCCATGCCCCGGCTTGCCGTGGTCCGGGTGCAAGTTGTTGGCGTCGTAGTTGACCTTGTTCTTCGTCGGGGCAGCCACCGATTGCCCCGACATGCTGCGGAGAACATCCACCATCGACTGCGTGATAGTGGTGTACGCCGGTTGGTTGCCGGCGTTTGGTCCTCCCGCGATGTTTTGCTGCCCCGGCCCCGGCGGCGGTGCCGGCGGGTTGTTGTGGTTCGGAACCGGCGGGCTCGGCCCCGGGGCCGGCGGGTTCGGGTTCGGGTTCGGGTTCGGGTTCGGCCCCGGCACGGGCGGGTTCGGATTCGGCACCGGCGGCAACACCGGCGGCAGCGGCGGGTTGGGGTTCGGCAGCGGCGGATTGGGGTTCGGGTTCGGCCCCGGTGGGTTGGGGATTCCGAGCATACCATTGATCGCTTCCTGGTGTGTCGGGGGCTGGTTGGTGGTATGGATGAAGATGGTTGTTGCCGGGTCGATGTCAACGCCGAGCCACGCGCTTGCCTGCCCTGCGACCGTGTTGAGCAGTTCCGTCCACGCCCCCGGCTTGTTGATCGCCACAATTTGATGATTGTGCACCGCCAAGGCGTAGTCCTTCATCTTCTGCATCGTGACCATGTCGTAGCCTTTCGATAGGCCGCCGTCGTTGGCGTGCCGCTCGCTGAAGAACTGCAGCATGCAGATCTTCGCCGCCACTTCCGCCTGCGCCGGTGTAAACGTCATTGTGGCCGTGTCCAGCTGGAACACCTTGCCCGGGTCCAGCCCGGTCAGTTCCTGTACACCCCCCGGAGTTACGACGCGCTCACAAAGCTGCCCCAGGTCGTCTCTTGCCTGCTGGGTGGCACAGTCGTAGCCGTGGTAGAAGTTCCGGAACTTCTGCGCAAGATCGGAACCCAGTGGCTGTAGTGAGAGCCGTCCGTCGAACTTGAAGTAGTCCTTTGCGGTTACTGGTTGCGCCATTTCGTATGGTGTTGATTAGCAAGTTGCTTTGCAGAGAGGAGAAGCTGCTGCTGCTCTATCAGCGTCGGCGGTTTGTTTTGGTTTTGTAAATATGTTTTTGAGAGGCCAGAAAGTCTATAAGCACACAAAAGGGCACTGATAGCATTCGAAATGAGAGCGAAAACACAAGTAAGACAGACAAGTCTAAAGTCAGAACCATCCACAGTCATTCACTCGAGCAGGTGCAGGGAGGCAAACAGCTTGCAACATCATTCCATTTGCAAATAGAGCCAACGGAGGTCCAAAGCAAAACCAAAACACTCATTTGGAAATTAAGAAAACCAAAAGCATCAGCAGAGCAGGAGCATTCGATGGGTGTTACAACAGGCGAGACATCATTCGCATTCCATTTAGTGTATAGGTTCGCTGCAGCTAGCATGATTTTGAAGGCAAGCAAGTATGGTGTCGCTGCATCAGTTCAGATCTCTATCGCCGTGCTTGTAAACTGTGCGAACAGGTGGCTACGCAGTCCCTAGCTAGCCGTGCCACAGAGGTGGCACACGGTCGGCTGGTGTGTGTCGTTCGTGTATAGTGCTTGCGCAATGTGTGTCACTCTGTGTGGCCATCCTTGTATCTGTCACGGATTAGTGTTCTCCGATGCACTAGACGCACTTCGCAGCCTTCCATCCTAAATCCCTACTAGCCCCCCGCCGAAGCCGGGGGTTTCGGGCTGTGACCGTCGCACAGAGGTGCGGGGCGGTATGGTGCGGGCGCACAGAGGTGTCCCTCTGTAGACTTTCGTCCTGGTTGTGAGTCGGCTTGACCCGCGCTCCGGTCGCACAGGGCGGAACCTGTACATAGCGATCGGCGCCGACGGTTTCACCTTACGGTACGTGGCTTTGGCGGGCGCGCGCATGGCGGCCGCGGGAGGGTGGCCGCCTCCCCGCTCGCTCTCGCTGACCACCGCTTGGGCTTGGTCACGGACAGGCCCCGATTGTTGTCGGGGCCTTTTGTACAAAGATGGGGCCACAGATGGTGGCCCCCCCATCTCGGTCCTCACGAGGTTGCGCGCCCGCATGCTGACTGCGTAACCTAGAATGTGATGACCTAAATGCGTTAACCTAGGTACCTGGCTGGCGGCAGGAGCGCCCGGCGCACGTCTCCTCCTCCTCCTCCTCCTCCTCCTCCTGCGCCACCTGCTGGTGGGGGAATCGCTGCGCCTGTGGCCGGCGTCCCTGTCGCCGCTGCGCCGGTGGCCGGCGTCCCTGTCGCCGTCGCCGCCGCTGCGCCGGTGGCCGGCGTCCCTGTCGCCGCTGCTGCTGCTTTTGCTGCCTCTTTTCTGTCGCGCTCCTCACTTACCTCTTCCTCCAGTCTCACCCTAGCCGCCCTTTGCTCGTCCGTTTCCTTCCTAAAAGCGGAGTCCCTCGCGGTGTTTGTGTCTTTCTTGTTCTTCTCCTCCAAGATCTCGCGCCTCTCTTCCGCCAGTTTCGCGCCCAAGTACACGGTGTACGTTTCGCCCGCCTTGAAAATCGTCTTGCCGTCTTCCTTGTAGTCGCTCTTGAGCACCGTCCGCGTGGATAGCACGCCTTTCACCCCAACTTGCGCCAGGTCGGAGGGCGCCTTCATGGCGTCTTCTTTGGTGCCTTTACTGTGCCAATTGCGCACGTCAATGCGGTCATCAACCAGATTCAGTATCGGGCGCTCAAACGCGGGGTAGCAGCCGCGAAACGTTTCCAGGTCCAGGCCTTGGTACAGGCTGCACTTTCGTCTCGTGAACCACTTATACTCCTCCCGATCTTCCTGGTTTACGAAATATCCGCTGTCGTCTTGATCCACTTTCTGGTCCAGATCGGATCTGTACAGCGAGTTACGCGCGTCGGCATCCCATTCTTCGGGCGAGAGGGAGAGCACGGAAGCTATCCGGCGCAAAAGCGTCTTTGTTACCCGCCCCGCAGCTGCTACGCAAGTCAACAAGAGCGTTTTGACTTTACGCATGGCGAGTTTTTCGGATGTGCAGCTTATTTAACTGACGTGTTTCTCAGGATTACTTAGCGAGCAAGGATGCATCAAATTCAATGTTGAGCACATTGGCTTGATCATTATCCTGATTCGAGCATGACCAACTCCCCAAGTCAACGAACGCGAATACACTACCAATAATAGCCGCGCCCGCGGGGGTAGTGAGGTCATGGCGGTTTTTCTTTTTTTGTCTTCACGCCAAAAAAAGACACGACTTCATTTCTTAGAGCTTGGACACCCGTTAGAATTTTGATGGGTGATTTTATAGTGATTTTAGGGCTTTATTCTCAAGCACGGCGCCGAAAAAAAGACGCCTCATTGCCTTCAGAAGATTTCTCTACTTTTGTCCCTGAGAGCAAAGGAGAAGATACCAACAAGAGGAGACAAAGGAGGGCCAAAAAACAAGCGCCATACCATCGGCATTCCAGGCATAATTTTTAAAAATTCAGAAGGCAAAATGCGCAATTTCCAATGCGGCGAGCGCTCCCAATTTTTGCGCTGCTTTTTTCGACACACGAGACCAAAACTGACGCCGCTAAGTCTTGCCGATGTCCCTACTACCACCGGGATTGGCACTTTTTCGACGCGAATTCTACCTGGCCAAGTCGGCAATTTTCCATGCGGATTGGGTTTGGAATTTTTGCCGTCCGGATGTTGGTGACTTTAGCGGTGACTTTAGGGTGACTTTACGGCGACTTTACGCGTTGCGCGCCGGCAACCTGCATGCTATGGCCGATATTTTGGCTCCAAAATGGAGAGCCAAAGCATCTTTTTTTGTTGTAAAGTCGCCAGCAACTTTTTGCCAACTTTTTTGAGCCGCAAAAAAGCTGTTTTTTTAAGATGACGCCGTAGCGTGCGGTTTAAAATCATTCACGATGGCGCTCGGTGTTTTTTTTTGGCTGGCCTTTTGCAACATCCACGCACAAAAACGACGAAGCAAATTCATAAGCGAAAGGAGAAAAGCGCAGTGGTGTTGGGAGCATGCTATTTTGGTGTTGCTCGCGTTATTTTTGCGACGTGTTTTTTATCGAAGTCCACCCGAAAAACATCGCCGACGCCATGCAATGCCCGCCGCAATTCCTTAGCCTGCTCAGGCAAATACTCACCACACGCCTGGCGCAGGCACACATCGACGAGCTCGGAAAATCAAAGACCTAACGCGCCCTCTCTGCATAAAATCACACTAAAATCACCAGCCTCTTTTCTAACGTCTGTCCAAGCTGTAACTCATTTCCCACGATCGATGTCATCGTGAGTGATGTTATGCACGACGGCACGGCGGTCGCTAAAAATGTCCGTCCAGAACTGGCCTCCATTTGATTTCGAATCGAAAAACCTTCCCCGCATGCTATGGCCCCGCAGGGGCCCCCGCAAGGGTCGGCCCCTTGGGAGCCCCAAATCGGGCCCATAGCATGCGGATTGGCTTTTTCCTTTTGGCGGACTTTGGTTTTTTGTGTTTTTTTTTGTTGAAAAGTCGCATCTTCTGGCCTTCAGTCCGCCTCTGAAATGGCAGATCTTGGTGGCGTCTTTTGCGGGGCCCGAATGTGGGCCAAAATGAGGCCCATACCATGCGGATTTGCTGTCTTTTTCGGAGTGCTGCTTTGTGGGCGCCCCTTTTTGGGCGCCCGAAACCGCCAGAAACCAAGGCGGTAAACGTCTCAGAAGGGTGCCCCTTTTGCCGGCGCGGCCCCTGCGTCGTTTTATCAAGCGGGAATCGATGCAATTGGCTCGGGCTTGTTTGACAACAAAGCCCCGGCCGCTTGATAACTGGAAATTTTTTATGTGCAAAAACACTTTCGGCCGCTTGAAAACTGCCGGTCGTTTTGCGCACTGCCTGTCAAAAAAACAGCTAGGATAGAACGTTCGTGACCTCACTACATATAACAGACAGCTCTCATGGAAACCCACATGAAACACAATGACATTGTGGGCTTCATCACTTCGGCATGCGGGCTTGCGTAAAAACTCGTCAGGAGCGGGGGCGACCAAGTCTTTGCACAGAATAATGGCGGGAAGCTTCTGTGGCGGGTTCAGGTTGTAAAAGGCGGAGTATGCACTAGGGCAAGCAAGTGACTCTCGGAGCGCTCGACAACACTCGAAAAGATGTCACCTTATCAGGAGACGCGCGGTCCTGTCATGTCATGCAAAAATCAGACCAAAAAACGAAAGAAAGCAACTCCGTGCGGTCCGAAGTGGTTTTTGGAGCTGCTCCAAAAATCACTCCGGACCTTGTATTTTGCATACTATACACGAAAAGCAAGCACTTGTATTTTGCATACTATACACGATGCTTCCAGAGCACAGAGCAACTGCTGCGCAACATACTGAGTAATGTGCCCTTACGCCTATTGGCATTCTGTGAGTCCACCCACCTCCCTTGCATATGGACGAATAGAGCTCTAGTCGCTTCCCCTTCCGTCTGCCGCTGCCCTTCTGACCGGTTGTCTTGGGGCGGTCCCCCTGCGTCGTCTTTTTTGTTGTCCGTTTGCTGCTTTTTGTCCCCTTGTTAATGCTTTTTGTCCCCTTGCTACTGCTTTTTGTCCCCTTGTTACTGCTTTTTGCTCCCTTTCTGTGGTTTTCTGTCTTTTTCCCCGTGCGCTTACTGTTCTCCTTCCTGCTTTTCCTTTCTGTTCCCTTTTTGTTCCTTTCAGCTCCGTTCCTCGCAGACGGCACCCCTTTGGCACCACGTGCCCGTGCTGCGGCGGTGCCCCGCAGCGCCGCTGCGACAGTGCGAGTTTCTTGTCCTTGCTCTTGGTGCTCCTCTTCTCGCTCCGTGGCGGCTTCCCGATTCGAAACGGCGTGCCCGGTTTTCGTTTCGCGCTGGAAGATTTTCTGCAGAAATTGAAACTGTTCGAGAAAAGAACTACTGGACAAAAAGGAACTGGAAGAGGAGCTGGCGGCGCTACTTTTCTTAGAATTCCGTTTCCGCCTGTAATATCCACTGCAAATAAACATGTCTGGGTCTGGATCTGGGAAAATGCGAGGTTTGTCATGCAATTCGCGTACTATCACGCGCATGGTCTGGAATGCAGAAGCATCGCAGATAATTTTAAGTTCATGAGACCTTCTTGATGCCTATCCCGCATGAGAAATAGTCCGCCTTTTGCCTAGTAACAAGTGTGCAGCTTCTGCGGTTCATGCAACAGACAAGCATCGATCTTCATCTTTTTGTGATTGGAACCTCGCATGACACGCTGCATCCTTCCAGACCCAGACATATTTGCAATGCAGAGCATGGAAGAACCCGAAGATGATGACGCCGGCTGTTCCCAGGCTTCATCAGATTTGAAAGTGCTGCCCCAGAGGCAGAATTCTAGTTCAACATGCGAAGTATTTGCATACACAACCATGGCGTGATTAATTTCATTTTCAAGTTTGCTTGCATATTATTTTCACGACAGGGCGGCGAGTCTTTTTTCTGCTACACAAAAACGAGCAGCCATTACATGGAAAATCCTGGTGAGAATCTGCGCAGCTACGCAACACAGATTGTTCTCGCCATCCCGCATACACATTCATAGTCATACAGACTGGCAGCGCCCGCTCAAAAATTAAAATTCAACACGTACTAATAAAAACATGCTGTAGCACGAGGAGGGGTCCGCATCACCGCATTGACGAACTACCTTTGTTTCGCAAAAACTCCTCACTGAGGCTGGGGCATTTTCCAGGCTGATAGCCTTCCAGCGTTCTTTCGACTACTGATTGCGAGTACGCTGCAGAGGCGTACACGTCATGCTCCCACTCGGGCACGTCTTCGGGTAGCGCCTCCAGCAGCCGCATGAACGTGGCCTCGCTGCTCCTCTCCGAGTACACATCCATGCTGTCTTGCAGAAAATGCAGCACTGCGTTCACGAGTTCCTCTAGTTCGTCTCCTCCTCGCAGTTTTTCTGCCTGAGCTTTGGCCCGACTTGTCGCGATGCTATCCTCCGCCCGGTCGGACTGCTTATGGCAGCGTCAGGTTTGAAATCGTCAAAGTTGAAATACTTTGCCATGCGCAAAATGGATGCCAGTTGAACCCCAGTTTCCAGTTGGCGCATGACAAATTTTGGCTGTGCCTAAATCCAGTTTGTAATGCTGTTGAGGTACAAAAGATTGACTCTCTCATGCTACTTCTGCAGTTCGAGCTCTAACCCTAAACAGGCTTACAATCGGCCTCACTTGGCTGCTCTGCAGCGCACGTATTTCGCGTCATGCATTTTATGCATGACAAATCATTTCAACTTTGACGATTTCGATCCTGACACTTTCATACTGCTCGTGTGATCCGTAGTTCCTGCGCCGTTCGTACGCGGAAAGGAGGTTCGCGACATGATTCTGAAGAAACGGGAGCAGCTGGATGTCTAGCGCCTCGAGCGTGTGCCACTGGAATGGAAGCCGCTGCAGCAGCTTTTGCATGTCGAGCCAGGAGGCTTTTTTGGTTTTCGGCTTCGTCTGCGATGACCCTTGGTAGATGACCTCTGCACGCAGCTCGGGCGCTGGTATGCTAAGTAAAAGCGTCTCCGCCCCGTTGTCAAGATGGAAGTGGTTTTCTTTGCATGCGGGAGGGGATCGCGTCTTCCTCCTTGGGTTGTGTTATGATGAGAACGGCATCCACCAGCTGCGCATCGCGTGCTCCCAACACGCGAACAGAGCCGCCACGCCCAACGCGTGGCGCGCAGCGTATAAAAATCGTCGAAAGCCTTCGACCCTCTCTGATGGCAGTAGGAGATACAGAGCAAGGAAGCAATAAACCCACGCAGCGCACTCGTTCCAGTCAGCCGCCTACCTACTGCGGGAGGGGGTTGCAACCTTTGTTGTCGGCGTATCCCGCAGACTTTTAGGCAGGACTATTCGTTGGCCGTGTGATCTAAACCGCAGTCCCTGCTCTAGCCTGCCAACCTCTATAGCTGACATACAGGATCTGAATGCCTCTGATGATCTGCATAGGGTCCCACCCAAATGCCATATGATGGCATATGATCCACATAGGAGATGATGGTATGAAATGCATACCGATAGACCATATGACAGAGCATAGGAATGGATATGGAATGACATAGGGATCGCTATGGATCTGCATAGTGCAAATGACTATGATCCGATATGACAGATTGATGATGATTGACGATGCCACGGCATAGGGGGAGGACTATGCGAATCATATGAATCCTGACAGGATGTAACGCAGCAAGAGACATACGTCGCTTGCGTGCTTGTGCATATAGTGAATTGATACCGGAAAGGTGTATCGTCACAGAGGTTGACAGCGTGGGTGCTCAGGTGTTCGTCTTGTCCACTAACACTATTATAGCTTGAAAATATAATGTCGGGGTCTGGAGGTAATGCAAACTCTAAAACACGCAAATGCAAAAATTTGCGTTGCATGAGCTCCAAAATCTGCTCAATTTCTGCTACGCAAATAGCGCAATTCCCATGCAAGACAGGCATCAAGAGGCCTGCGGTGAGCCTGCAGCGATCTTGCATGCATTTCACACCATTTCGTTTGTGTCTTTCACGGTCAGCCAAAAACTGCACGACATACATCTACACACTTCCAGGATACTTCCTGACCCAGACATACTTCTAAGAATTTCCAGTGGATAAAGATGGAGATGGAGGGAACTCTGCAAAGCAAATCCGCAAGGTTTCGTTTGGCTATGGTGCGTGACGTGTTTGCGCTCGCAGAAACAGACTGCGCGGCTGCAGCATCAGGCTCTCCTGCAAGAAGCGCAAGATAGGGAAGTGGCAATGCGGGAATGTATGCACCATCTATCGACGCTGTGCAATAGACCACACGGTCATGCTGCACGTCAGACCAGCCTCAGGACGTGTTCTCGAGAAGTTTACCGATATTCAGCACTTGCTGTCTGAGTGCTTGGCTGAATGTCTTCATGTTCATACCGCACACCCACTGTCACAGAAGAGGTGGCAAACAATAAGGCGAAGCGCGCTAGGCTATTTGTATTTCTTTGTGAGAATCGTCGGCACGCTTACAAGCGGGAACTCGCAGGTGCTATGAACTCGCATGTTAACCCGTGGCCCATGCGCAAGAACTATCAAATGCAAATATGTCTGGGTCTGGAAGGTCACAACTTGTGATGCTGTCTGTGGATTCTAAAAAAAATTGTATTGCATGACCAGCGAGAGGGGTCGGGTTTGTCCTACGTGGAGAGGGCGGCATTTCTCATGCGGTAGAGGGATCACAAAGCACTCTAAAACTCTCTGATGCTACGGCATGCGTCACAGACATCAACATGCCATGGCTCATGGAAAATATGCATGACAAATCTAGAAATTCTCCAGACCCAGACATTTTTGCATTTGATAAGAACTTGCCCCGAACGATAAACGGCTGCGATGAGTTTGGCCCCCTCCGCATTTGACGCAGATGGCAAACACACGGGCTGCGCACATTCCCGCAACACGCCTCTCAAGCATGTCCCCAGGCGAATGGGAATGGGCAAGGGCTGCTTGTTGCAATACGTTCCGGACGGCCATTCTGCAGTAGAAGGTCTGCAGCCATCATGGCCTCGAGAACCACTAGCCAAAATTGACGGGCTTCCTAGCACGATGGATTGGCGCCCGACTACCCCTATTCTTACCCTTGCGGCGGAGCGTGTGGCGTGATCGTGGGTGACCAGTGCAGCCGCTTCGCACTCACAGATCGGTCGTCTTACCCTGATTATAGAGCCGAAAGAAACTACTTTAGAAAACCTCACTCATGCGATTGCACATGAAAGACATCCACGTCCCGGGATCGGGACTACTTCTGATTTGCATGACAAATACTAGATCCAGGGTGGGGGCGTTTTTACACAGTATACGTGGCCCCGATTCGCTACGCCCCTTTTCTACCGGCTTGACGAATGTCTTCGCTAGCTGCTCCAGAAAGCTCTTCCACACATGAAACACAGATCCACAAACGTTTGCGTCGTGAATTTTTTCCTCCGTTTGGCACTTGGCCTGTTTTTGGGTTGCCTCCTGAACGTTGTCCGCGGAGGCCTTCCAATCGTAGGCTGCGGCGATGCGTTCCCGGGTCAGAGGCTGCAGTAGTTGGGGGTAAAGAATAAAAGAATCTTGAAGCCAAAAGGCTGACACACTTTCATCCTGGCGATAGATCAATGGCGGGGCGACCGGAGGACCGCCCACGGATCTCAGGTCTTCCTCATCCCAGTCCTCCTCCTCGTCGTTGTCCTCGATGTCGTATCCGCCTCCGTGTAATGCAGCACAAAAGGAATATCGCGCGAGCACTAGGAGAGGTAAGAAGTACAAGTAGTTGTAGTTGCAAAGAATTGCAGAATATAAGCAAGTTGCAGCACAGATTCGAGTCATGCGTGGTGGCTTGCACATCATGTAGATGTACACGGGTGCGATACAACTTTTGCGCGGGATACGTGTTGTGCAAGTCGCTCCTCGTACTGTTCGTATGCCTCCTCATACTCATCCTCGCCAATGTCCGTCAGGTCGTCAGAGTCCACGCCCCCCTCCCAGGAGTCTGTTTCGTCCGCGCCATCTGCGCGCACTGCAGCAGATTCTGTCTCGCGGTGCTGCTGCGTCATTTTCTGCTGGCTGCGCGTGGTTTCTGTCCGTCTGCTGGCCCGAGACGTGGTGGCCTGCGTCCCGGCACGGCGCAGGCCCGTCCGAGCCTGTTCCCCTGCACGGACGGTGAATTCGGATTCTACCCGCTGGCGCGCCTCCTCTTCCTCTTCTTGTTGCCGGGCCTGCCGCCGCTGTTCGTCCAGCCGGGTGCTCTCCTTTTCTTGCACGAATGCGGAAGATGCCGTCGCCTTGCGGCCGGCGGATGTCGCAGCGACCTTCCGGCGGCTCGGCGGCGGGATCCCGAGGAGCATGTTCTCATACCGCTGATAAATCTGGGCCCAAAGGCGGCCTACCTTCTCCCCAAGTTTCGCTGCGGTCACGGTCGAAGGCTGGTAAACCCGCACGTTGTCCGTTACCCAGCGCCGCAGATATTCTCCGAACACCTTCGAACCCTTCTGCAGTGCGCCGAGCAGAACCCCACTGCGGTCCCCGCGGTGCAAGACGTTGAAATGGTCCAAAAGCCGTATGCGGCTGGCGGGCTTGGCCCGCTGCGCGGCGTTGGCCGCTCCGTCCACCCGCACTCGCTCAAGCCGCGCCTCTTTCTTCCGCTCCTCTTGCTGCATGGTGGCGAAGCGAGACTCGAAGTCGGTGAAGGCAAGTGGGTCAACCGCGTCGCCGAGGTACCCGCTCCCTGAGGGCGATCCCGTGCCGGCCACGTGGCTCCCAAGTTGCCAAAGTTCGGCGCCGTTCACCTGCACACGCACTCCGCGGGTGCCACTGTTCGTGTCCTTTAGCTCCGTGTCATCGGCGCTGAGAATTTTGAAAAAGGAGGCGGGTAGCTCGGCGGAAAGGAACAGTTTCGGATTTTTTTCGCGAAGGGGCAGCACGCGCTGTGGGCGATAACCGAAGAGGGCAGCCTCCTTTTTCTGCCGCTTCTCTCTCTCCGCGTTCTTGCGTTGCTGCGCGAGCTCGCGGGCCCCTGCGTTTTTCGTGGACTTCCTTTTGGTAGCTGAGGGGCCGCGCCACTCTCGCTCACGCTGCACCCAGGCAGACGGGCTGCCTTCCCGACCTCGGTCAGTGGTCGTGGTCGGGTCTTCCGACAGTTTCTGTTCCAGGCTTTCGTCAGTGCCCGGACTCAAACCTGGCTCACGACCGATGGAGAGCGACGCCGCCAAGCTACCGCCAGTGCCTGACGTTGCGTCGCCGCGCAGCCACGAATAAAGTTCGGACCAAGTAGGACGTGACCAAAGAAACGCAGCCCAAGATATTGAGGTCCCTCCAAGTTTCCCTATGCATTTCTAAACACGATGCTCAGATCAGGGAATTGTGTGCAAACCCCTCCTGCTCGAAAAATTTATCATGGTCAAAACTAACAAGGCCACGTACGGGAACGAAATGTACTTGCGAACGCGTTCCCGCAGTAGCATTTGTATTTCTTCGACGTATATATTCGCGTACATGAATTGGTAAGTCAACGCAAAAAATGGAGATAGGAAACTGCAATAAAAAGTACATGCTTATATTAAACACAGATATAGTACCTACATGTAACTATAAGAGCTTCGCATTTTGTGCGACTGCGAATCGCATCAAAAACAACTTCTGCAGGGAGACAAGATTCTTGTCTACCCAGCACCCAAGCAACATCAAATTGCAAGCAACGCGGCAAATTTCTTGCGCTTTCCCTGCACCTGAGATAGCTCCGATTGATACGAGATGACTGCTGGTCTGGACCTGCATCGACTTCCGCAAAAGAAGCCCCCGCTTTCTTTTTGCTTTTACCTTCAGTCCCGGCAGATGCTCGCTTGCTTCTTTCGGACTCGTCTGGCGTCGGATCATATCAAATGCAAATGTGTCTGGGTCTGGAAGAAGTTGTCATGCTATTTTCGCATGACGGAGAAGGTCTGGCATGGAAGCCCTAGCATCACAGGATTCGAGAAGTAGGCTCCGCAATGCCTAATCCACATGTCAAATCCTCCATTTTGGTGACAGGAAGAGGGTGCCTTTTGCTGCCTATGCATGAGGGATTTGTGTGTGTTATGAAATGCGCATCACAAGTTCCAGACCCAGACATATTTGCAATGCATAGATCAGATTCATCGACGATAATCTTGTACCCTCTGTCGTACATCCCGTAGAACGCATCGGTGTCTATCCACTGCAAATATGTCTGGGTCTGGAAGAGTGCAAACTTGTCATGCAGGTTTTCCGTGACCCATGACGTCTGGAATGCGGGGCCTAGCATGACAGACTTTGTGAGGTCTCTATCATGGCTGTCCTGCATGAGAAACTCCCTCCCAGCTTGGTCGAAAGCGGACAGGTTTTGGCACTCATGCAACACAGATTTTTGCATGATTCAGATGCAGCATGACAAGTTGCAATCTTCCAGACCCAGACATATTTGCAACGCATAGTGTCCACTTCGGACCGAAACCGGTATCTTTCCTATCCTCAGTAAAAACGCACCCACACCAGAGCCAGGATGGGGATTTTGCAACACAAACCTAGGAGTTTTGTGAGTCACGCATGACAAGTTGCACTCTGCAGCGTAGTGCAGGTTAGCAAGTGCAGCCGCGTCACAGATTCATCTGCTCATCCTGTTCACAGCATCACAAATTCCGAGACACGATTGGAAATGGCTCTCATGGGGATGCGCATTACAAGTCTTCCTGCCTTTGCAAATCTGCATGACAACTCTGGGGTGGGAACGTTTTTACTTGGGATATTTCCGCGTTTTTCCGTACTCCCCCAGCGCTCCGGCCTCCCCGTAGCCACTTCTGGTACTGTTGGTAGTCGCCCAGGCGCCACTGGACGTATCCGAAGCTCTGCACAGCAAGCGCGCCTTCCCGCGAGTGGAAGGCGATGAGCCGCAGAACTACGCCCGGCTGGAGCTGGAACTCGAACCCATCCTCCGTCCATGTGTGGCGTTCTCAACTGTTACATTCTCAACTGTTACATGAATTTGTCATGCAAAATTGCCATCAGCCTCGACTTGATCCAGGTGCTTAGCATGAAAAATTGTCGAAAGGCCAAACAGTATGATAATCTGTGGCAAATCTGTAATGCGAAAGCTGCAACGTTGCCACTTTCGCTTTTGCTGTTCTTGCATTACAAGTCCATGTAACAGTTGAGAATGTAACGTTTGAGAACGCCATACCATGCCGTCACGGATTGCAGCAGGGTGAAAACCTGTCCGACCGTCGGAACGCGAAACAGGTACTCCAGCGGCATCTGATACAGGTGGTCACAGGCGGGAACCGGGTAAGTGTACGCGCACGACAGACTCACCTCCGCCATGAGGCGGTAGGGAACCACACCAAGAGGGCCGCGCACCTGCCGCGCGGCGAAGCTGCCACCCTGCTTCGCATCGTCGGCAAGCCCGTTCCGACTAACGTCGGCAGCAAACACGCGGTGCAGCCGCACCTGCTTTCCTTGCAGCTCCTGTGCGAGATAGGTGCGTGCCCGGTACTCATACACGGGGCCCACTTTGTTTTCAGTCACTGAGGGAAGCCCGTATCGCTTCACGGTCCGCAGGCCGGCCTTCTGCATAATCCTTTTTTGGTCTTCCACCTGTCGCAAGAAAAAAGTGTTTCGTTGTCAGGATTTTGCAAGTTTTGCATTACATGCATCAAGAAATGTGACGCAAGTTCCAAGAGAAGGTAATGCAAGATCAGAAGTCGGGTGGTGTTGCTAGTTCTAGTAGGTGTGAAATTTAGAAAGGAAATATCAAAACGCGAATGGACTTTACCTCAACTTCGAGCAACTTACGAACAGGCTTCAGAGTCGCCGCACATATATCTATGGGCTCAGCATGAAAAAACTGGGTTTAGGCTAGCGCTCAAGGCGAGGAAGAAGAAAGCTTTTTTCGCGAAGGACCTGAAAACTCGCAGCGAGTGCATCCCATTGCACGCCCAACATGGTGCTTTACTTGTGAGATGTAAGCTGTTCCGAGTACGTTTAATTACAGGTTTGTTCTACATGACAGAGAAAACTTAACATGCAAGGTTGGTGAGGGAAATAAAACACAGCTTAAAATCCACTGTCTTGCATGTGTAGCAAGACAAACCCTTCTGAGATATTATTATCACATATTCTGAATTACAAGTTGACAGCAAAACAGTTTTCTCCTGCCATACCATCCCCAGCAAGTGCACTGTTTTCATAGTCGTGGAAGTCGTCGTGCTCGTCGGGTCCGGCACATGAACTCTATGAGAGTGCACAACCCCACCCCTTCCTCATTTGTATACCATAACCAGCAATCCAACAGCAATCCAAGTGTCTGCGAAGATACAGGTTTGGCATGACAAATCCTTACCAGATTGTAATGCTGTTTGGACTGCGAGAACCTGCCATGAAAAAAGTGCCAAGAAGCAAAGGCTGGAATTGGATTAGGTTTAGGAATACAATAGGCTTTGGCATGTTGCATGACAAAGAAATGAGGACGAGGGGGACGGGGAGGGGCAGTTGTGCATTCTCATAAACTCCCATGTAGGTGTTGAAGAAGCTAATCCTAGCCCTTCATCATGGTGAAAAGATTGCGCTCCCCCGGTTCGATCGTTCTCTTCTGACAATCTGGCAATCTAGATGACGGACAAACCACCGAACCGACGCGCCCTCGGGCGTGTATGCTCGAAAGAGAGAGGGAAATGCCCAAGAATGCTCGCGGGCAAGATAAATCTGGAAGGCCCGCCAGAGGTTGGAGACCCGGGGTCCCGCCCTGCAAGCCCCCGGCCGGCACTTGAAGTCGCGGCGCAGCTGCACCAAGACCATGTACAACCAAAATAGGAAACCCTGAAACCCCATAAAGCTTGTCTGCGTCGGCCGCAGAGCTGGGACGGATCGCGACAGGGAGAGAAGAAGTATCGGCGCACGCGGCATCAGATCGGAAGAGGGTGCGGTGGAAGCATATTTTTTGCGGCTCCGCGCTAATCTACTATGTAAGAAAAAGGCAAAGTGGGCAAATCGATAATCCCGCCCAAGCAGGCACTAAAGCACAATGTCGCCCCAAACAAGAATGTGCGCCACGCCGGCCAGAGAAAAACCCCCAACCCACGGGAGGAGGAAAACCCTCAAGCCCAGCCGGGAGGGGGACGAACAGAGCCGCAAAGCACCGCGGCACAGGACCACCCAAGGCCCGCAGCCGGCGATGGACGCACCTCGGAGCCCCCCTCAACCCACGCCCGAAACTGTTGGCGCCTCCTTTCATCACTTGGGCTCCAACACAACGTAAGGCCCTGCGCGCCTCTCGTCGAATTGTTCGGCATCTGTGCCGGCAGCCAAGGAAGACGCCCTGCAGCAGGCCAGCTAACCCTTAATCGGGCGAGCTTATGCTATTGTGAGCCCGCCACAGCCATATACCAACGAAAGCTGACGAAAATTCGCAGCCGCCGAAACACATATACAAACCGGAAGTTGCTGAAGCCGGCTTGCTATCCCAACCGTCGGCACAGAAAGGACCCCGCCCCAGGAGTAGAAGCTAAACACAGAAGACGCCTGCACCAACAACCGGGGGTCTCAGCCTAGCCGAGCCTGCCCGGAGAACACGCCCGCCCGTGCCCGAATGCCCTGCGCGGCCGATGCGGTGGAAAAACGGCGCGGGCCTGTAGAAGCAGTGCCCGAAAAGGAGCCGCGAGGCGCATGCGCCAGCGGTAGTAAATAAATCCGGCTGGCACCACACACCGAAACAAAGAAACGGCGGCTCCGGGGCGTGGAGGAAAAACAAACCGACCGCCCTTTCTACGGAGCAAGAGCAAGGGCTCAAGAGCACGTGGGGCGCAAGGACCACCAAGAGCACCACGGGCCCGAACGTGCGAGCCCACGCATACGGGCGCGCCGACGCAATGCTACACAAAGGCGGCCCGTAGCGCACGAAATATGTAGAGCGAAAAAAGAATACCGAGCGCGGGCCGCGGCCCTTTTCGTTGTTGCGCCTTCAACTTCCAGAGAAAACAAGCAGCAACAGTGCGAGCGGTCGCGATTCCCTTGCCATGATGCAGGCGTTGTGCGTGGAGTCCCTTGCCGCCCGTCTACTGGGTGTCAGCAGCAACAATCCGAAATTGGGACGCTGCTGCTGACGCCTCCTGCCCTGCTGATGTAGCGCAGGAAGACTTGTAACAGAAAAGAAGGGACACACACACCGCAGTACAAAAGGGGGCGACGGGGACACCCAAAACAGAACACGCATATGCGCAACCTGCGAGTCCGCGCGCGCTGATGTTCTGCCGCGCGCGCGGGCGACTGCTACTAGTACGGTATGGTCCGCGAGAAAAACACACGATAGGAGAAACCCAGCGCATTCCCGGATCCGGCCCCACCCTGCATACAAAGGTCGCGAAAAGTTCGCAACCGAAGGAACCTTTCGGGCCTGCGGCCCGACGGAGACTGAGAGCCAACTCGGGGCGGGGCGAGGCTTTTCACTTTGATACCTTTTCCACTGCTTTTGGATCATCTTTCCCCTTCTGCATCGCCTCCCGGAGGGCTGCCGCCTGAGCCGAGAGAAAATCAGGCGAGCTGCTGAGCTTGGCGACCTGCGCAATCCGCCACAATTGGTCGACCGGCAAGCTTGCCTCAAAGTCTGACACAAATTTGCGCCCACCCGTTTCGCCTGCCTGAATGCGTTTGATGTTCTCTTGGAGGTCCCTCACCTCTTGTTCGATGCCTCCAAGATCTTTTTGTTTTTTTTTCTTCTCCTTATCCCCCTCCGCCGATGCGCCTCCATCGGTCCGGAGTTTTTGCAGCTCTTTTTGCTTCTTCTGGAGTTCTCGTTCGCGTTCTTCTCTCAGTTTCGGCAGGTCCTCCTCCAATGCCACTTTCGCAGCGCGAAACGCTTTTTGCACAAGGTCGAGGCGCTCCGGAAGTCTGCTGCGTTCAGTCGTGCGCCCGAGCATCTCGACCTCGCGGCCCAACTTCCCAAAGGCCGCAGCGGCAGGGATGTGAGTGCGCGCGGACACGTCGGAGGATTCATCTCCCGGCACCACCTGAGCCAAGGCCGAGAGTTCTGCGCTCCACTCCTTCACTGCATCTGCAGGACGCCGTTTGTTTTTCCGCGAGTCCTCGTCCGTCGAGTGTACCTGTTCCGAAACCGGAAGCGGAAGTGTAAACTTCGACTGCTTTTTATCTTTTATAAGGGTGCTCACACTGTCCACAATGCCTTGCAAGTCCGCTGCCGCTTTTTCGCGCTGAAAGGCAGTGTCCCCGGCTATCACAGCCTCTCTCCGGCTCCTGCCCAAGCAGATTGCCTCGCCGGTTGCTCTTGTCGCGGCAGCGAGCGCGCGCACCGTGTACCCGTGGCTGTGCTCCGCGCCCTTCCCCAGGTTTCCTTTGTGGAGGTCATACGCTGCTCCCAGGCCTTTAGCCGACTCCACCATCTCTTTCTGGGCACGAAAGAGCTCGCTGTCTTTCATTTCCCTGCCGAAGTTCTTCCGCAGGTCTTTCATCTGGCTGGCCAGATGCCCCACAAAAGACGTCAAATCGATTTTGTCCTGGTCTGTTTCGGGCGGGCGCGTACGCTTGAAAGAAAGCATCGGACATAGAATGCGTGTGCGTGGCTGTGGGCACCTCCGTGCTGTCTACTTTTCCTGGTTGGTCTGTGTAGTACTTGCTAGAAGTGCATCAAAAACAGCACGCAGCGACATGACCTTGCTTCTTTCAAGCACTGCACTCTAGTAAACATGCAGCTATATTAGACTTCGCGGCACGGACTGTAAGCCTCTCGGTGTGCATCACATGCAGTATCCTTGCTTGCCTCCTTATTTGATTGACAAAGTAGTCCCGCCAATTATGTTAACATCATATGCGCCTATTTGGTGCTTGGCCTCTTCCAACGATTCCAAAAAGTATGCTGGCCTTCCCGGGTGTCACGGAGCCAGCTGCTACAATTTTCCGGCGCCTTGTGACGTGCTGGCGCCGCTAATAGTCTTATATATATCTTCTCGGGCCGGTCGCGCAAACTATCACACTCGCTTAGTTCATACCACTGCGGCCCGCGACGAATTTAGGGCCGGCGCAGAGCACTTTTTTGAAGCCCATTGAGCCCTCGAACTTGTCAGGCACGGCTTCGCGCAGATCGCTGCAGATTTTTCGTGCCTGACCCTTTGGCCAGCCTTAAGCGCTCTCAACGCCCAGCCTGCGAGGCACGTCAAGCACCGCGCCGCCGTCTGCGGGTGCGCGTAAAATCAGGCAGCTGCGCGCCTGACTGAACTGGGCAGTGCCTGGCCCCTCCCGAGCAAGCCACTCGGGCCAATTGGCATAAGCAAAACCTGCCGCGGTCTATCATGGCCGAAACTCGCCGGCGCATGACAAAGAAACATCGCGAGCGCATGTCGAACCCTTAGCCCACGAACCTGCTTCGTGGGTCCGTCTCGCGCGGGCAACTCGGTGCCCGTGCCTGACAAAGACAAATCCGAATCCCGGAAGCCCATTGGCGGGCCCAAGCGGATGAAAGAGCGAGGGCGTGCCACACATCGTAAGACCTCGCAACGCACGTCGACAGCCCGCCGACCGCTCCATCGGCTGAGCCGTGCTCTTGATGAAGATTTTATTTCATTCGGCGCCCCCGGGTATCCCCTTTTATTGCGCCGCAAGCGGGCGAAACACCCAACGGGCACCGGACTGACGCTAGTTCCGTGCAGAGCCACTGACGACTGACTGCGCGCGGACTGGCGGGCGCCATTAAGTCCGGCTGCGCTTGCGGGCCGTGGTTATATGAATAAGCCCCTGCACGGCCGCTGAGCGACCCCCGCGGCACCCCCTCCTTTTTCCGGGTAGAAGGCATCGAGCAAGGCGCCTCCCCTTGGCAGGAAGCACCACACCGCACGCGTCGAGCGCCTTCGCTTGGCAGGTCTGGCACTAGACAAGATACAAAGGCTCAAGCGGGCCTCGGGATTTATCCCGCGCTAACCTCTTGGTGCCCGTGCGTGGCTCTCCCCATGAGACCCACCTATTTGGGCCAGCCGCCTCAAGCGGGAAGGTTGGAGATCTGACACGCCTAAGCCCTGCACCTTCGTGCCCTTGCGCCAGCACAAATCCGCGAAACACAACCGAGCTCGTTGGCCCAAATAGCAGCGCCCGGGGTTTGTCACGCTTAAGAGGCTTCGCTACTGCGCCAGGGAACTTTGGGCCCCGTGCCTGGCAGCAAGGGAAACTGGTTGGGATCAATTTGCTCAGGCGGCCGGCCACTTCTAATTTGGTGCGCAGGCTTTTTTGTGCTCGCATCTGGACAGCCCCATGGAAACTATTGCAGCCAATTTTCCAGAATGGCCTGCGCGGGATGTGACATCCAGGGGCGTCCGCCGAGGTGCTCGCAAGTGACAAACCCGCCACTGCGTCGCATGAGCCAACTTCCACCATACGGCTTCGGCGAGGTTTGCCAGATACCGGCATGCGGTCGGCTTCGGCGAGGTGGCCTCGCATGACGAACCCCGGCAGCGCGTGCCCGGGTCATCCAATTGTCTCAAGTGGCTTGCCTGGCATTAGTCAGGCAGCGGGCGGCACGGGCACGAAAGTGCCGCTGCCAGCACGTGACGGGTGCCGACAGTTGCCGTCTGAGCCACTTGGCCCAGATGGTTCTGCCCAGATTTGTCACGCAATGGCTACCAAGGCACCTGCGCAAGGCGGACCGAGAACGCGAGGCACACAGGCCGCGCGCTGCGATAGATATTGCGGCGGGCCCAGTCGCTCGCGTTCGGCAGTGGCGCTAGCGCCTATCACGAGCGCAGCATGGTTTTGCGAGCTGGGGCGATCTCCACGGCCGTGCTTGGAAATGCCACGAACCACCACCCGGCCGCCGCCCTTTCGATTGTGTCTGGGCCACTTAGCCCGAAGGCTTGGCGTGACACGAACAATTACGGGGCGGGCAGCATCAACAGTGACAATGTGCCCGCGAATCAATGACAAAACTCGGGCCCGGCTGTCTGAGCCAGCTGGGGCATCAGTGTGCAGCGACACGCCTGGGGGGGGGCTCGTTTGTATTTTTGGGCGCAAGCCCGTCCACACATACACACACACACGCAACACGACGCCCCGCGGGTCTGTACAAATATGCGCGAAGGCGAGTCAGTGCTACGGCGCCGCCCCCTAGGGCGTCGCCCCGATAGTGCCACGGCATCAGCTTCGGCGCATCTACGTAACTAAGCATAAACAAACTGGCGCGCCGGGGCCGCAAGGTGGATCGCTTCGAGGTTAGTGGCCACGCGCACATAAAGCGGAAGGGCGCCGGGCCCAAAACTTCCCCGCGCCCGCGCCCTCCGCATCTGGCGGCGTACGGAGACTGGCCACCCCGGTGCACCCGCTTTTTTGCGATTTGTTTAGTCGCGGAGGCAAGGCGACATGGCGCCGAGCAGCGAAGCCGCGAAACAACGCTGGCGGCCCCGCCTTGCCCGGCAATCGATCGCGGAGGCCGAACTACTCTGCGGTGGGGCCGTTACGCAAGTGAAGCAAAACGAAGCGGAAGCGCGGCAGCCTTGAGGGCAGAGGGGTTGCCGCACAATCGCCCCGAGCAAACAAAGGCGTCGGCGTGACGCGGGGGAACCTGCAAACGCAGGCCAATGCCAACACTAAAAACGGAGGGGGCAGGCGCGGGCGCGACAGAAAACGCCCACAACCGGAAGCGGGGGACGAAGCCTCTTCACACGGCAACACACAGACAAGAATCTACCCAAACGGAAAGGGCGAAGAGGGCGGGGACCTGGCCTGCGCGCTTTTCAAACAGGTAGGGGGCGGAGGGGTGCTGGGATTAGCTACGCGCGGGCGCGGTGCGTTCCAGCAACCAAGGCCCACCAAACCTTCATCCAAACCACGACCAAAGGCGATGCCTGGGGTGGGGCTTTTTAGATAGCTTTCTACGATGCGCGCATCCTGGCCCCCTCGCTTTTTGCTTCTGTTAGGACGTCGACCAAGCCGGACCGGAGACAAGAGAAACTGGCCGACCACACACCCGCGCCAACCATGTGGCTGTGGGCTTGGGCGGGCGCATGCATTAGACTCCGCCCCGGAGGTTCTAGTACCGGGCCGAACCGCGTGCCGGCCAGTGTCTTCCTTCCGCGCGGCCCGGTGGGCAAGCGCATGGCCATGTCATGTGGATTCTGTGCGCAAATATGAATGCGCCAAGCAACAAACAGCCAGCAGCGTTCTGTGGTCGCGAAGGCGCCTAAATCCGGGGCGCCTGCACATGCCTACTGCGAAAGCCCCAAACCGAGGCCGAAAAAGTAGACGCATGCGGCGTAGGCTTTAAATTTTGGCTGAAATTTGAAAGCTGTCACAGTGCACCAGTTCGCAGGCTATAGTAACCAGATCCAGACTCGCCCGGCGGGGGCAACATTATTCAAGCTAGTCCGCTTTCATGCCTTCCGCACGCAACTTGCCCGCCAGCTAACTTCATCTTACACGCCCGGCACCCTAGGGGGCTGATAGGCTTTCGCCTGTGATGCTAACAACGGCAGCCGCAAAACCATAGACGACTGACAAAGCAGCACCCGAAGTGGCCAACCGTAAAACGGCCGCGCTTTTCCGACCATCATCCCCCTTTTCCGCTGTTTCTACAATGCCGTCTAGGGCCGCCAAGGCCTTGGTCGCGGATCCAGTGAGTACTCCGCGCGCAACGTCGTTTTGTAGTCCGTGCACACCACCGGCGCCGGGGGCTCTTGCTGTGGGGGTGTTGGTGGCGAATAGAAATAAAAAGAAAAAAACAACCAACAGGCCTTGCGCCGTTTGTTTGTTTTGCTTCCCATGAAAAAGCTAGCAAGATCAGGAAGCAGGCTGTGCGCCCATTCCGGAACTCTGCGACCACAACCGCACGCACGTGCGCGCCTATCTATGCGGCAGCGCCGCCACCAGAGACAACAGCAAGA